ATATATATATAAAAACAGCAAAAGAAGTACCTGTCTATGTAGGGCCATGTTAATGAGACTAATTAAGTGGGCTGGATGTGTTCCATACATAGCTTTTGATGTGGAAATGCAGATGTTAACAGCAAGAGAAATTGGCTTTATAATGCACCAACCAGTTAATGCCTTTGTTCAAGTCAAGGGTAACGATATCACATCTGTAGATGAATTCCAGTTCTGCAGATTCTCTCTAATTGGGTATCAAAATTCCTTTGTAGAAGAATGGCTACTTTAAAATCCATGATTGAGTGACCCAGCAGGTTAAAATGTTTCCCTGCCTATAGGTTCATCACTTGTGATGCCTGATTTGGGTCCATTTATCCTTTGTCATGGAAATTGTCAATTTTAGCCAGTATACATGGCAGAGACACATTCCTGGCATCTAATGGCATATATCACATTTGAGGATGTGCAGTTATATGAGCGCCTGATGTTGTGGCTTATATGGTTAGGTCCTGTGATGGTGTTTGTTTAGAAATGTGGACAGAGTTGGCAACAGGATTTGTTGTGGGAGTAGGTTTCTGTATTGTGTGTGAGAGTGATGGGGCAGAAAGACAGTTGCCAATATAGGACAGACTCTTCTGCCATGCTAAGTGTCTGGTTGGACAGATTAACAATGTTGTTAGATGCATTGAGGGTACTAGAGTTGTAGTACCTTATGGCATGTAGGATTTTAGATAGTATATTGTTCTTTTTCTTTTGTAAGGAAGTGATGTGAGCATTGTAAGTGGCTTGTCTAGTTTTTGTAAAGTCTAGCCACATTTTCTAGTCGTTTACCCTTTTGCTTTTAATAAAGCTAAAAATGAGCTGGTCAAAAGATTTTCTGTAGCAGATTAATCTATCTACATAAGTAAAAGTTCTGTTATCTGGCATGTTGAGAAAATAGGGGTCGGGGATTGCAGGTTAATCAAATAATATGATTAACTGAGAGTTATACTTCACCAATGGAATACCAGTTTTCAAAGAACTAGAATACAATACAATTTAAAAAAATAAAAAATAAATACTGGTACCCACCAATCCAGTAGTAGTACTGCACTGCAAAGTGTTTGGTTTCTTGGTGTACACAGGTAAAGTTTTCTATATAGTAGGTTGTCTTATGCAATGACATGTTACTTTGGACCAGTGCATGACGTAGACCCAGATCACTAAAAATGCACTTAACACTAAAACTATACTGAACATCATTTAATCTTTCTTTCTTAATTCAGAAGTCACTTCAGAATTTTGACATGCCTTAGGGTCATAATTATCAACATCAATTATCTCTGTAGAATAGATGAAGAAGGTGTAAGGAGATGGGCCTGAATCTCTAATGACTGTATGACACACCCTCGAAGCTGCTCTTTTGAATAAATCCATGATTTCAGCTTTCTTGTTTTCTGCCTCTTCTGCATAAAAGTGGAGTGAAGAATATGCAGTTGCATAATGTGCTGGGGCATATAATGCCCATAGCCCCCGTTCACTGACAGTAGTAGAAATAGTATTGAAAGTGGTGTCCCTTTGCAAGAACTAAGAAAACTCTAGATACCATGTTTGGCCTCAGATTCCCAGTCTATGTAGTTTTCTGTTTTACTCGTAATACTTTACCATTGTCTAGTCAAGATTTTGTTGTTGTTTAAGACTTGTTATTTTTTATTTTGGCGTTTTTGAGATATTGAATTGCTAGTATTATAAGAACTTATAGGACAGACTCATTCTATTATTGTAAGTATGACAATATAGGTATCATGTGGGAATCAAGTTTTGTTTTTCATTATATAAAAATTTTAAAAAAAACTTGATAAAAATAAACATCAAATGTAATAACATGCATATTGCATATTATAGGTACATTTCTATCATGCATGCTGTGTGTCATGTTAGATTATTGAATCATGAAAAAGGTCATACATCTTTGTATCTTCTAGGATTGTTCCTTTTATGGTTAACTGTAGTTTATGTATACTAAATCAAAATGACCAGTAATAAAAGGAACATTTTCAGAGAGACTGCTGTCAAAATTGAAATAACTATATACTTTCATCTTCTCAGAGTGGGAAAAGAAATGCAAAATTTAAGCATTCCTATATTACAGTGTTTCTCAAAGTGGTCTGCAGACCCACACTCAGAGATCTGCTACTGGGCCACTCGTGTTTGTTTACTGACTGGCTCTGCAGCCAATGGGAGCCGGGTAGGTAAGTAAACAAACTGGAGTGGCTTAGCACCAGTTTTCTCTGGGTGGGTCCATGGACCACTTTCAGAAACACTGCTCTATTATACAGTGAATAAATAGCTCCTTTTGAACTTCCATTTACTGGTGATTGAAGTACTATTGTTAAAACTGTTAATGATATTTTAAAATTCCTTTCATATTTCCCCCCATGATTTACATTATTTTCATTCACTCTTTCAACTTATACTTTAAAAGTTTAGTACTGAAAATTGTTTTCTTATATATTTCATTCTTCAACACATATTTGCTTTTATTGTTCACTTACTCATAAGTTAGACTGCTCAAAATAGATTTTATTTTAAATACTGAAACACTTTTTATTTTAAACCCATGTGAGAAACTACTGGATAGTGTAAAAATTTACAAGAAAAGAGTGATGCAAATAGGACATTTACGGACTTTGTGGTCTCTTTACAGAAGTTAAAAAAATGGAAACTCTGTGCATGAAATATAGCAATGTGAGCTTATTTAAGGCATCTGATTTTTAAAATCTTGGCCAAGTGTTGGCCAAATCTTGAGAAACTGGTTGAGAATCGGAAAATGGAAGGCAGCTTTGGTGAAAGTGATCATGAAATAGAGTTAATGATTCTAAGGAATGGTAAAAGGGAGAACAGCAAAATAGAGACAATGATTTCAGGAAGGCAGATTTTGGTAAGCTCAGAGAGCTGGTAGGTAAGGTCCCATGGGAAGCAAGACTAAGGGGAAAAACAACTGAAGAGAGTTGCCAATTTTTCAAAGGCACATTATTAAGGGCCCAAAAGCAAGCTATTCCGCTGCGTAGGACAGATAGGAAGTATGGCAAAAGACTGCCTTGGCTTAACCGGGAGATCTTGCATGATCTAAAAATCAAAAAGGAGTCATATAAAAAGTGGAAACTAGGTCAAATTACAAAGGATGAATATAAGCAAACAATGCAGGTATCCAGGGGCAAGATTAGAAAGGCAAAGGCACAAAACAAGTTCAAACTAGCTACAGACATAAAGGTAAACAAGAAAAGTTTCTATACATATATTGGAAGCAAGAGGAAGACCAAGGACAGGGCAGGCCCATTGCTCAGTGAAATGGCAGAGATGCTTAATGACTTCTTTGTTTCGGTCTTCACCAAGAAGTCTGATGATGAAGGAATGCCTAACATCGTGAATACTAGTGGGAATGGGGTAGGTTTAAAAGATAAAATAAAAGAACAAGTTAAAAATCACTTAGGAAAGCGAGATGTCTGCAAGCCTGATGAAATGCATCCTAGAATACTCGAAGAGCTGATAGAGCAGGTATCTGAGACTTTAGCTATCATTTTTGAAAAATCATGGAAGACAAGAGAGATTTCAGAAGACTGGAAAAGAGCAAATATAGTGCCCATCTATAAAAAGAGAAATAAGAACAACCCAGGAAACTACAGACCAGTCAGTTTAACTTCTGGTTAATGATAATGGAGCAAGTAATTAAGGAATTCATCTGCAAACACCTGGAAGATAAGTAACAGCCAACATGGATTTGTAAAGAACAAATCATGTCAAACCAATCTGATAGCTTTCTTTGATAGGATAACGAGTCTTGTGGATAAGGGAGAAGCAGTGGATGTGGTATAGCTAGACTTTAGTAAGATATTTGATACAGTCTCGCATGACATTCTTATCAATAAACTACGCAAATACCATTTAGATGGGGCTACTATAAGGTGGGTACATAACTGGCTGGATAACTATTCGCAGAGAGTAGGTATTAATGGTTCACAATCCTGCTGGAAGGGCTTTAGAAGTGGGCTTCCGCAGGGGTTTGTTTTGCAACTGGTTCTGTTCAATATCTTCATCAATGATTTAGATATTGGCATGGAAAGTACTCTTATTAAGTTTGTAGATGATACCAAGCTGGGACGGGTTGCAAGTGCTTTGGAGGATAGGGTCAGAATTCAAAATGATCTGGACAAATGGTCTGAGGTAAATAGAATGAAGTTTAATAAGGACAAATGCAAAGTACTCTACTTAGGAAGGAACAATCCATTTCACACATACAGAATGGGGAGTGACTGTCTAGTAAGGAGTACTGCAGAAAGAGATCTAGGGGTCATAGTGGACCACAAGCTAAATATGAGCCAACAGTGTGACACTTCTGCAAAAAAAACAAACACGATTCTGGGATGCATTAATGGGAGTGTTGTGAGCAAGGCACGAGAAGTCATTCTTCTGCTCTACTCTGTACTGATTAGGCCTCAACTGGAGTATTGTGTTCACTTCTGGGCACCACGTTTCATGAAAAATATGAAGATATTGGAGAAGGTCCAGAGAAGAGCAACAAGAATGATTAAAGATCTAGAGAACATGACCTATGAAGGAAGACTGAAAGAATTGGGCTTGTTTAGTTTGGAAAGGAGAAGGCCGAGAGGGGACATAATAGTGGTTTTCAGGTATCTAAAAAGGTATCACAAGGAGAAGGGAGAAAAATTGTTCTCTTTGGCCCCTGAGGATAGGACAAGAAGCAATGGGCTTAAACTGCAGAAAGGGAGTTGGACATTAGAAAAAACTTCCTAACTGTCAGCGTGGTTGAACACTGGACTAAGTTGCCTAGGGAGGTTGTGGAATCTCCATCACTGGAATAAGTTGCCTAGGGAAATTGTGGAATCTCCATCTCTGGAGATATTTAAGAGCAGGTTAGATAGACATCTATCAGGGATGGTCTAGATCAGTGGTCTCCAACCTTTTTAACGGCTTCTGGGGGGTGAAGCAGTGGGGTTAAGTCAGGCTTACTCCTGCCCATGCCCTGCACCACTCCTGAAAGCAGCTGGCATGTACAGCAATGGCTCCATGGTGATATGTGCTGCCCCTTGTTTACATGGCACTGAGCCCACAGTTTCTACTGGCCAGCAGTCTCTCCTCAGTGTTCCTAGATGTAGCTGTGCTGCCCCAGCCGGGATACATTCTGGCAATGTTGGTGGAACCTGCTACCTGAGTTTGCATCTTCTTTGCTAGCCTATCACAGTAAAATCCCCATTCTGATGCTGGGCTTCCCTGCTGCAAAATCTAGATACTGATTAATAGGAGCTGCAGAAGTGGTGTCTGCAGGCAAGGACAGCATGTGGAGACCCCCTTCTCTGCCTCTCTCAGGATCTGCAGGGACGTGCCATCCACGTCCAGGAGCAGCAATTACCACAGTGATAATTACTCCAGCCACGACAGGTTAGGCATTTTAGAACTCACTACCCAAAGAATTAAATTTAAGCATAAGAGAGAAATGAAAATTATGAAATGCATAGACCAGTCAAAAACCAAAAATCGACACTTTGCAAGTAATAAAAGAAGTAACAACAATTCACCACATATATGTTGGGTCAGGAGATGAGTGAAGGGCAGTGTGTGTTTGTGAGAATGACAGGGACACACACAGTGTGTGAGAGTGACAGAGATTTGCATTGCCAAGCCCCCTCGATCCCCCTTTTCCCTGTGTGGTGATAGGATACAGAAATGGGGGGGGAGGGACACCCTGACATCAGCATCTCCCATCTTCTTCCTCCCGTACCCTGCTCAGCAAGCAGGAGGCTCCCAGGGGGGCAGCTGTAAAGCCAGAGGGCAGAAGCACCATTACAATGAGTGGAGAGGCAACTGAAGTGCCAGCGCTTGATAGCTTCCTGGCCAAACCAGTCAGGATCACCTGTCAGAGGCTCCAAGATCTACCAGTAGACACCCGATCTACTGGTTGGTGATCACTGGTCTAGATGGTACTGGATCCTGCTGTGAGGGCAGAGGACTGGACTCGATGATCTCTCGAGGCCCCTTCCAGTTCTAGTGTTCTGTGCTTCTATGAAAAGCTCTCATTTTATCAGTTTTTGTGTGTATGTGTGGTGTGTATACCTATATACTTTTTTTACATCTATGCAGAAAGTCTGGTGTAACTGATCACTATGCTTTGGATGACAATCATGCACTTCATCTAGCTAGGAAAGTTGTGCGGAGTTTAAATTACCAAAAGAAATTAGATGTAAGTATATGATTTTTCTTAATATAATGTATTTTCTAAGTTAAAATGTATAAGGTTTTTTGTTTTTGCTCTGTTGTAGCCATGTTGGTCCCACATTATTAGAGAGACATGGTGGGTGAGTTAATATCTTTTATTAGACCAACTTCTGTTGCTGAGAGAAGTTTTGAGGAACACGGAGCTGCAGAAGAGCTGTGTTAACTCTAAATAAAAGATCTCACCCATCTTGTTTATTTGGTTTTTCCTTATTATTTATGTAGTGCATTGATGTGTCTGACATTAAATACATTTTGGACATTGAAAAATACATGATTTTATCAAAAGGTGTAATCTTGTAAGTATATGTGCTCCTGCATGTAGTCCCAGTGAAACTGATGGGACTATATGCAGGAGTAAATCGGTATTTGGAGGTCCATGTTTCAGATCTATAGTCTAAGATAGGCCCAATTCTTCAACATACTTAATTTTAAGCATATGAGGAGTCAGTCCCGTTGATTTCAGTGGGACTGCTTATGCTTACTGTCAGGCACATGCTGAAGTATCTCCTTGAATCTGGGTTATTTAACTCTAATTTACCCCATAAATGTCCTCCAACAGCCCAGTAAGCAGTGGAAGTGTTGGTAATACTGCTAGACAATATTGACTTCCTGTGGTCCGGAAAATTGACTATGGATGTAAGCAACTAGTCGTGTATCCGATAAGCATAAGTATAAGCTTATCGGATAGTCGACTGATCCCTTTACTAGTCACTTCTCAACCCCTTTGCTGCCTCTATCAGAGGCAGCGGGGGGTGAGGGGCGGGGTGGGGAGCAAGAACCAGTGTTGGGGGGAGCCAGCTTAAAAGCCGGTTCTCCCCAATACTGTCTCTGTGGGGGGCAGAGGAGGGAAAGGGGTAGCAGGGACCAGGGGCAAGTCTCAGACACTGTGCCTCTATTTTTAAAATATATTAAGAAGTTACTGGCTCTTAATACATTTAAAAAGCAGAAGCGCAGCAGGGGGGACCTGGCATAATCCGGAACAGCTAATTCCTAGCTCGCGCTGGGTCCCTCCCGCTGAGCTTTACAGGCTCTTAATATATTTAAAAGGCAGAGCTGCAGTGCAGTTAGTTCCCAGGGCTAGGCGCTAACCCCACTGCAGCTCCCCCGCTTATTGACTAATCGACTAGTTGATGAAAATTCCATCGACTAGTCAATTAGTTGATTAAACATAATTAATATGCCTAGTTTGGACCCAGTCAGGTCCCGAGGGTGCTGGACTAGAGAGGTTCAACTTGTAGTAAGGAATTGGCTTAAATTGATTTTTGGAGAATCAGATTGAAGAGAGAGTACACTGGCTGAAGGTGGAGAGGATATGTAAACATAAATAATGATTTGGAAAAAATATCTGTTTATGATGTGTCAACTGCTCTGGCATCTAGATTGACAGGGTGCAGATATGCAAACGAGAGAAAGCTGTAAAAGTTTTTGGAAAAGTGGGGGGAATTGTCAATGGGCAGAGGTGAGATGTGCAGATGTAGGATCTAAGTACAGAGAGAAGGTGAGGAGTAATTCTGTTCAGACGCTTCAGTATAAGGAGCTGATACAAATTGAGGCAGGAAGCAAATAGAATAATTTGAGAATGAGTGGTGAAAAGTTAGGTATGTGGATAGTGTGTGTGGTTGGGAAATTCATTAAGCTGTTTTGGTTATTTCTGATGTGAGATAATTTATCATTTTAATAACTTTATTCAATTGCTACAGGTGACTGTAGAACCTCCAGAGGAGCCTATTTATCCTGCTGATGAATTATATGGAATTGTTGGGGATCAGCTTAAAAGAAACTTTGATGTCAAAGAGGTAGGAATAAAAATGAAGTTGCAAAATACACAAAGTACTTTTGGCACTCGGTTTTCTTGTAGGGAGTAGGCTTCATTTACTTCTCACCATTTGTTTTCAAAATACAGCTATTAGGCTTGATGAATCTTTTAGTATTATAGAATCTTCTAATGTTTTAGATGTTCTTGTTTGCTAAGCCTAGTAAAATGTCAATACATTGTTAAAAATGTAACTTTTTTATTTCTTAAGAAAAAGCATTAACAAAGGTTAGGTTTACTAATATTTTAAAGGTTGCAAAGACTACAGTTAACTGATATGTTTGCAGATCCTCTACACTACCTGGCTGCTGCTTGGATACAGTATTTTAGCTTTCTTTTTCTGATAATTTTGTGGCACTAAATATAAGAAATTCTTTCCTGATTTAAGGATTATGGAAGCGTCAAACATAACAGAAATAGTTCAGTTCTGTCAGCCACACAAAGGGCTCTCACGTTGCATTTACACAAGTACCCTCTTTCTTTTGTTGTACATACACACACGCACATGCGCACCTCTGTAAACTCTACTCCAATTCATCTGATTAAGTGGGTATTACCCACAAAAACTTATGCCCTAATAAATCTGTTAGTCTCTAAGGTGCCATCAGGCTGTTTTTTCATTACAGGAACACTGAAGTAATTTAATACAGGCAGTCCCCGGGTTACGTACACAATAGGGACTGTAGGTTTGTTCTTAAGTTGAATTTGTATGTAAGTCGGAACTGGTACATATTGTAGGGGAAACTCTAGCCAAACATTTCTCCAGAGCTCAGTTTTATTCTCCCACACCTCACTTCCCTCAGTCCTTTATTCTCAAGCTGAGGTGTCTGCTGAGAAAAGCCGCTCCGCGTCTCCCTGGTCTGCTGGGGGGAAGCAGCGAGTGCGGGGTTGCCTCACCCCGTTTGTAAGTAGGGATCCGATGTAAGTCAGATCCATGTAACCCGGGAACTGCCTGTACTCCAGTTTCCTATTATTTAAAGTTAAAATTTCTTTTGCTCTGTATCTTGCTGATGACACTCAAAAGCATATCACAAAGCTGAATTTTAGTAATTTAAAAACCTATCATCCATTGTTGTAAGACGTGAAACACAAGCAAAGCTTTATATGCATGTACCTATACAAATAATGGCAAATGCATGTGTAGCTTTTCAGTCTTTGAAATGTATAGTGAGTGTGTCCATATGTAGTTAATATGCTTGGAAAAAACACATTTTCTATTGGACATGGGAGAAAAGAGACGAACTTGCTTAAAAAGATTCAGTTTTGAAGATAGATAAAATTTGGGACTTAATAATCTCAATATTTAAATATCCTTTAAAATATACCCTCGTTTCATGAAAATAGAGATAAAGTGTAACTTAAAGGGAAATGAGTTATTTTCCCACCAGACTAACTTTTGCTTGCCATCAAAATAAATACATAAATGAGAATGCGCCTCACGTGCTAAATGAAATGAGTTTAAAAAAAATTGGATAACAAGTTAAATGTCAGAATGCACTCTGTCTTTTTAAACAAATTTTAGTGCAAACTATAATGAGGGAAACCTAATTTTTTTCTCTCCTTTAAGGTCATTGCTAGAATTGTAGATGGAAGTAAATTTGATGAATTCAAAGCCTTATATGGAGATACGTTAATCACAGGTATTTAAAATGTTTTTTTTTAATTATTCTGTAAATATTTCTCCCAGTTTTACATTTTGTTTGGGTCACCCATTGTGCTGAGCTTTAAAGTTATTTAATAATAAAGGTTTTACTTTCCTAAAGAAAATCATTATATCAAGAAAACACTATTAGCTGTGCATTTTTATAGTGAAATAGATATAGATAAAAATTCTTAACTTTTTGTTATTTTTCTTTATTTCCCTGTTCAGGATTTGCTAGAATATTTGGTTACCCGGTAGGAATTATTGGAAACAACGGAGTCTTATTCTCTGAGTCAGCAAAGAAGGCAAGTTTAATTGCTGTTGAGCATCTTTTTAAATTTGAATTGAATAATGTTGCTGAGAACACAACTATTGAACCAGAATTTCCATGAGGAAAAAATGGTCTTTTATAGTGATAACTGAAGGACTTGTCTATCTGGATAGCTGATGTGAACATGAATGACCAAAATTCTGTGATAGAATTTGAAAGTAATTGACTTTATTTTATAAAAGACGGTGTTTCCGTAACTGTTTCAGGACATTTCAAGAGGAAAGTATAGTTAGAAGAAGAAAAATCAAAGCTATATGGATATGACACAGCTAGGGTTGCCAGGTGTCCAGTATTGACCTGGACAGTACGGTATTTTTACCTCCTGTCCGGTTATAAACATTTCAGAAAATACTGGACACCTGAGATGTCCGGTATTTTCTCATTTTTTTTCCTGGCCAGGAGGCAAAAATACCAAACACCTGGCAACCCTAGCACCTGGGCCCAGCTCCTGGCCTCGCACCCCCTCCCTCCCCTGGGGCCCTGACACCCCAGTGCCCGCCCCGTCCCTGGCCTCCATGCTTACCTGGTTCTGCAGGGAAGCTAAGTTCTGGCTTGAACAAGAACACAAAATGGCCACCGGCAAAAAGCCTACAGACCAAGGGGAAGCCATGCCTTCACTGAGTCTTAGTGCTCAACTGCTCCCCTGTTCCTATCCCTATTCTAACTCTGCACTCACTCTGAAAGGGGCCATGCTGTTTTATTATTTAATTTTTTTTTTCTCAATAATTTTGGTCCTTCCCTCCCCATTTTTTTTCCTTAACAAAATTTTTTCCCTGGTGTTGTTTTTTTTGGCGGGTGGGTGGCGGCGGCGGCGGCGGCATGTTTGGTATTTTTGGTTCAACCGTCTGGCAACCCTAGACACAGCTGAAGTAATACATTCTAAAACCTTCAGCTGTTACAGGAAAGTCAATACAAATGCTTTAAAACATTTTTTTAGATTAAATCTTTAAAATGAAGTGGTACAGTAAATCATAATTTTTCTAGTGACTGGTTAAAACGCATTCCCAGTCCAGATTTCTATTGTACCTTATTTCTCCTTACTGGGATATCCAATTTATTGGTTTACAATAGGTTTGCTTTTCATACTTCTTTTTGGTAACTCCTGAAATAATCTAACTAATAAAATAAATATATAATATAAATCCTTAAATCTTCTTTACAACTTCAGTGCAATGTATTTTTGCTCCTTTAAAAAAAAACAAAAATATTACTCCAGCACAATGTTCTGGATATTAAATTGCTTTTACACAAGGCTCAGGGAACAGAGAAGCTCTTTAGATGAGAAGATTAGTTATTGGCCAAGTTCTATCTAACTTAAATATGGGATTCTGGATTCATTAAAGAAACCAGTAGCAAGGCCAAACTAAATTTCTATTTTGGGGGGAAGGTGAGCAATAGTAATCATGCAACATGCTTAGGGATGTTAAAATTAGATGAATCAACTAATCAAATATTAAATGGAATTTCCATTGACTATTCGATTAGTTGATGCCTAATAGAGGCAGCAAAGTATGGGGAGGAGCAACTAGTTGACTAGTATCTGATAAGCTTTTGCTTATCAGATAGTCAACTAGTCGATTAGTTGCTTACATCCCTAAACTTTGTCTGTTTTGGTGAAACCCTCATAGAACTGGTGAGAAAGTTAGTTCAGAAAAACTTGGGGAATAAGAGTCTTTGGGAGAGAGTTGCAAAAAAGTAAAAGATTTTGCTTGGCTCATAGGTGGAATGAAGCAAGGCACAAAGTTGAGCTGCAGTTAATGAAGAATATTTTGAACATCAAGGATTGCAATAAATAAGACCATTTTCTGGTGACATTTGTATTCTACAGCTTGTAAAGATCTCATTACCCTTTTATACCTTTAGTATTCTCTGGTGATTAGTATTGCAAAAGCTTTCCTATCAGCAAGAGAGCAAGGGAGTACTTTTTCTCCTTTTCCCTATACATCAGGCACTATGAACAGTTTATCAGTCTTTTGGCACTAAATAGGATACTTGTTCAAAACAATAGAAGACAGTGTTCAGAATTATCTATAAATCTTGATGGTAACTGATAGCCACTTCAGTCATCAGACCTGTCCAACTCATATTCTCCTGTTAAATGGCAGAATACTTATTTAACACAGAATTATGGTTGCCCATTACTGATGACTTTCCAGAACATCAAGTTCAGCATAACTCAGACTTTTGAAAACTAGGGAAATAAATAGTTAAGGGAAATGCCCATGCAGCCTCTACTCTGTACCCATGCAACTATTTTGGAATTAGCCCAACTGCTGATGAAAAGCTGGAGTACAGATTTCTAATACCACAGCCCATTATTTCTTAATAACAAACTTGGTAGTGTGGACACTCCACTTATAAATTCAACCTTTGGGGGCTATTTCAAAATAAAGTCCTAGTGTAGACGAGGGCTGTGTGTGATGCCAGAGCATGTCAGCTTTAAGAAAAGCTGTTTTTTTTCACACCATAGGGGAGAAATGGCTCCAAATTTGTTCAAATGGCTCCAAATTTGGATTACTGTCTGCTTCCCCATAAGGCACACTGTATTTCAAGATGATCTGATTAACTATAGGTATTAGAGCATTTCTGACAGTCCAGCTGCAAATAGAAAGCTGGTTTTAGACATAACTATTAGTAGAGCTGTTGCGCTGCTCTTTTTTTTTTATATAAATGAGACCCTTATCTTATTTTTATCTTAGGGTATAGAACATGTTTTATCTTTTGAAAGGCCATAACCTGAGAGTGTGCGCTTTCTTCATGTTGTCATTTTTAACAGTTCAAAAACTATACAGACCTATTTAAAATGGCTTTTCCCCATAGTGATCACTCTTTAGAGTGCTTCTGTGTGTATTATCACTATTTTGTCTTCTTTCTTAACAACTAGGGGTTAGTTGAGTATTATAAAAAGGTCAGGATTTTTTTCAGTTGCCATGTTGCACCTCTTAGGGGTTTATAGTCTGAAAAAATGGTCATTAATTTCAACTCTATCAGCAGATGTTAAATAAGGTTTGAAAATGAAGGAATAATAAGTAATGTTGACTGAAAAGCCAGTAATTTATAATATTGACCAAAAAGCCAAGTATTTCTTTTCATTTCAAGTCATGTTTGCATTTTTCAGTATCACTATGAACATCTTTATGTCCTTTCTGGGTAATTTTTACTATCATCACAGTACATAATATGTGTTACAGAATAAAGGGCTTTCCCCCTCCCTCAAATATAGCAAAGTCATTTCAGCTTGTTGGTTATTTTTTTATGGTTTACCTAAGAATGTAAAAAATGCCATTTTTATCTTCACATGTGATGAAACTAACCATACATAATAGGTGGAAATTTTTTGGCAATGACTCACAGGCATACACATTTTTGTACCTGAATCCATCATCACCCACCTAACAATAATCCAGTCTTTGGAAGTGCTAGAGTGGGACAGGTGGAGATGGACAGCCAGGGCTGGCTCTACAGAGCGCGGTGCCCGATTCTGGGGGCGGGGCCGCACATACGCAGGGCCCCGGGCGGCACGGGGCATGCGTTGCGCCCTGGAGGCACGATGCATGCCCCGTGCGTTCCGGACATCACGATGCATGCGCTGTGCGTCCACACATGCGCAGTGCTCTGGAAGTACAGCGCATGTGTGGCCCCTGGGTGTACGGTGTATGCGCCATGCACACCATGCGCCTGGGGACCTTGCGCAAGCGTTGTGCTCCTGGAGCACTGCGCATGCGCCGTGTTCCCGGCGCAGTGTGCATGTGTCGCTTCCCAGGGCGTGGGGCCCCCTCAGGCGTGGGGCCCCACACCGGTGAATCGGCCTAAGGCTGGCCCTGTGGACAGCTTCCCAAAGGCTACATGACTGTGGGTATGTTTGCCAAAGATGGTTTAGGCACAGCTGATTTAATGTGCAAAAGAAAACATGATGAATGGACAAAGCCAGTAAAACAAAGAAAAAAGATTTGTAGTTTCCCAAATTCTTGAGTACTGCCCCAAACTGCCTTTGCTGCTAAGGTTATCCTGGGGTCTTTCCTCGGGCAGTCCTGCCTCTTTGGAACTGCAAGCAACAGTGACCTCAGTGTGTTAATCGCTTTCTATACAGCAGTTGCATCACTGCAAAGTCTCCCCTATAGCTGCTCTATGCCAGCGGAAAGCATCTGCCAGCGATATTGCATGGTCCGTAACAGCACATGTGTAGGTCAGGATGGGTTTTTTCCCCACGTCTCTGTATAACAAAAGTTTTATTGACAAAAGTGCTAGTGCAGACATATAACCCATTCACTAAGGCAATAATTAGAAGAGTGTAATTGATTGAAGAGGAATCTGCTACCATTTCTTCATTAGGTAAAATAGTCATCCCTTAGGAAATGAGTCGGCGAGAATGAGAGAGAGAATTAGAAGACAGAATTTTTTTTCTCCTCCATGGAAATGATGGAGAAATTGAATATTACAGTAGTTTGGAAGAATAAGAAAGGTAAGGCACTTAGGATTGGGGTAGATTTCACTGTAAGGAGAGTAAAAATGAGGTTTCATTTATAACTCTGGCTTTTATCTGTTCATTTTTTATTATAAAGTCTTATTGAATTCCACTGTCAGATTTTTATCAGCATATTGACCCAATCAAGATGGTTGAGATTCCCTAATGCTGTTCATGTTGCTATTTATATATTAGTTATGTCACTTTATCTCTGAACCTACACATCATTCACTGCTTCCTGTTTCTCTTGAAGCCAGTGGAAGTTTTGCTATTGACTGCAGTGGGAAGAGAAGTAGATCCTGCCCCCTGTGAATCCACTGTGGTAAAGGGGCTAAAGCAGGGCTTATCCTTGTTCCCATTTAAAGCCTATGGCAATATAGTATCATGAGGTTTTTGTGGGCACAACCTCTTTCTTCAGAAGCTCATGATATTACATGTATATAGGTATTTTTGCAGGTCTCTAAGGTGCTACAGGACCACTCATTTTTTCTTTGGAAGTAGAGTGACAGTAACATCAGTGACTAAATATTGCTTCACTCATTCATGTTTTAATAGTTTGCTTTTACTCTGTTCACAGGGAACTCATTTTATTCAATTATGTTGCCAAAGAAATATTCCCATTGTATTTTTGCAAAACATAACTGGTGAGTAAACCTGACTAATAGATTCTTGTTTCTGGCCATTCAGGTTCAGACACTGAGGTAGCATCTTTTTGTATGTTCTTTGTATCTCTCAGTTGCTCAGTAACTTGCCTGTTTGAACGTTTAAGCATTTTCCCTTCAAACGTTAATAATAATTTCGTTTTGGTTAAGTGAGGTTTATATAGTCAGTATTTAGTAACAGAAAAATCTTGTTTGTCTTAACATGTATTAGGTTTCATGGTTGGTAGAGATTATGAAGCTGGAGGAATAGCAAAGGATGGAGCCAAGATGGTAACTGCTGTAGCCTGTGCCAGTGTACCTAAAATAACAGTAATTATTGGAGGATCATATGGTGCTGGAAACTATGGCATGTGTGGAAGGGCATATAGGTAAGTATCACTCCTATTTGTAATAGGAAATAAAGATTTTATATGACTGTCAAATCCCATTATCCAAAAATTAGTTTTAATTCTGACAGAAATTGTGCCTTTTCTGTTTTGAAAGCATCTTGCGTACACAGTAGGTGTGACCAGATGTAAATCATAGTTGTAGGATCTCGTGGAGATTGTTAGGCTCATAACTTAATTATTCTTAAAGTTTGGTAGTGGAGGAAATTCTCACAAAGATAAATATCTAGCTTTTAAAAAACAAAATTATTGTTCCATTGCTTGAAATGATTCCCATAGTAAACATAGTGGTTTAGAATTTGTAACTCTTATTCATAAAAGTAGTGCTTATTTGTGTTAAAGTCCCATGAGATGCAGGGGTCTGTTAGTATGAGTTATGTTTTTAGGATCCATCCAAATGTTTTGTTAATTCTTTAGTCTGTATTTACATTATTCAAATAGTACTTTTAAAATAAACCCTATTAATAAGTGTAACAGGACTGTTCACTTCAACAGTATATTTTTAATTCTTTGGTAAAAAGCTGGTTTTGTTTTAAGTGTAATGTTGTATTTTTCAGTCCAAGGTTTCTTTATATGTGGCCAAATGCTCGTATCTCAGTGATGGGAGGAGAACAAGCTGCAACTGTCCTGGCCACAGTAGCTAAGGACCAGAAAGCAAGGGAGGGGAAACAGGTACTATTCACTCTCTTCTGCTCACCCCTGATTGAATCTAAGCAATTACCAAATGAAAGTACAGACTTTTAGTCTACCCCTTGTATTATGGGTACCATCATTCTCATCTAATCTTGCATTGTAGCTAGTTCACATACTGAGCTGGTACAGTACTGTCTATAACCATATTTTTACAGGATGGAGGATCCTACACTGGAAGATTGAGAGTAAAAAAAATTGGAGGGTGACTAGTGAGCTAAACACAAACTCTCAGTGCAATGCAATGATGGGCTAAAGCGAACCTGGAATGCATAAACAGGGGATTCTTGAGTAGAGATGGAAAAGTTATTTTACCTTTGTAGATAGTGCTGGTGCAACCATTGTTTGAATGTGTGTCCAGTTCTGGTGTCCACAATTCAAGAAGTTAGAGGGACCAGAGATGAGTCACAAGAATGTTTAAAGGATTATAAAACATGTTTATGGTGGTAGACTGACTTCTTTACATCTATGTAGCTTTATGAAGAGAACATTAAAGACTAACTTGATCAGTTTATAAGTACCTCCAAAGGGAACAGCTATTTAAAAGCGGGCTTTTCAGTGTTGAGAGAGGTATAATATGATCTAATGGCTGGAAATTGAAGCAAGATGAATTCAGACTGAAAATAAGGTGCACATTTTAAATAGTGAAGATAATTAACCGTTGAAACAATTTACCAAGGGATGTGGTGGGTTCTTCGTCAATGATAATTTTAAAATAAAGATTGGATGTTTTTCTAAAAGATATACTTGAGGGATTATTTTAGAAAAGTTCTATGGAGTTATACAGGGAGTCAGACTTTCACAATGGTCAGACTTTCACAAGATTATCACAATGGTTCTGTCTGGCTTTGTAATCTACTAATCTGACACTTATTCCCGGTGGAATTCCGGGCTAAACAATTAAAAATTCTGCAAGAAAAATTAAAAATCCTGTGCACAGTATTTTAAAAGTCTACACAATTCTGTCCATTTTATTTGTCAAAATAAAACAATATAATCACACCAGTTTCAACTACTTTGGTCATTTATTTCAAATTACCTGTCAGCAAGATAACAAAAAAGATTCAGATTTTTTTTTTTTACAAAAAGGTTCTTTACTAGACATATTAATGCATAGTTCTGAGTAATAATTCATTTAAACTACCCTATAGAACGGTATTTCTCAGACCTCTGAGAGGCAGTGCAAAGGCTTGGGGGAGTCAGGAGCAGTGGAGGATCTGAGGGAGGCCAAAGTAAATTGCTGAGAAGCCTGGCTGTCAATTTAGGGTGTTGGGTATGAGTGGGAAAAGTATGGAACAGGGATTTTTGTGGGAAAAACAACAGGGAGGGATTGTTAAGGAGCTTTCTCCATGTAGACTTTGTCAGACCTGTAGCCTGTTCCATTCAGTCAGGCACATATGCCCCTGTACATAAGTGTGCCTGTTCCCTACCCAGCCAAATGCCTTGTCCCTATGTAGCTCTCTACTCAAATCCTAATCCCATGTGTGTCTGCACCTCCTTTTCTCCCTCCATAGCCCTGTGCCTCCATTCCCATTCAGACCCAGCTCCCATCTGTCCTCCCCAGAGTTGCCAACCCGCAGAAATTTCATTTACAGACAAAATGGGAAAAATTTACAGACAGACAAATTTTTTTACAGACATAATTTTTATACTATATTAAGACAACATAAATGGCCAAAAGTGAAAAGTAATCGTTGTCATTCATACATCACAAGAACAAAATGCTGTTTAACTCACTTTCATTTAGTTAGTCATGGTCCTGGAAGTTTTCCATTTTGTGATCGTACATCCGAACATGTGATTCATGTTACGTCACCTCAACTGTTGAACTAAATAAATAACTAAAACATCCACTTTCCGCTGCTGTGCAGTAAAATGGCTGAAGCAGCAGAGAATAAATTTAATTACTATAGAATAATTGCTTTTTTAAAAATTGTATTGTACTTTTATGAAATTTATGGACACTTACATTTTTGTATGGACTTTACGGACATGCCCAATTTCAGCTAATTTTTTATGGACTGTCCATAAATTTACTGACGGTTGGCAACCCTGGTCCTCCCCCACTAGCCCTTATGAGTCCCTGTATCATTCTGACCCTGCCTCCAACACCCCACATACCCCTGTCTCCTGACCTGGCCACAGGCACTGTGTAGAAGATACACTTTCTCTTCCTTAGCTGGCTGTGAGTTGCACCTTTGTTCAGTTGACACAGTTCCCCCTGGTGTGCAAAAGGAAGGACTGCAACAGCATTTTGACAAGCTTTGTTCTGTGTGGAAAAGTAGAAATCTGTGAGGCTCATTAAATGTGCACACGCACAGTAGCGCAGCACTCCTCTAGGAGTAACCAGCTTTTCTTAATGCTGCTCGGTGGCTTCACTAGCAGGTGGTGTTCATGAAATGCTAGTGCTTTCATCTTCCATAAAGCAAGTGCAGTAGTGACTTCCCATGTTTCCTCTGGCTTAGGAGACAGTAACTTTAAGAAGAAAATATTGTTCAGGTTTTCTATCTTCTTGGGCCATAGGGCTGGATTTTCAGCTTATTATTTGGAGATTCACCCAGTGTGAGAGATTGAAGAGGAATATTGAGAGCACAAAATGTCTCTTTCCAATTACGTTTGCAGTGCGAAGTTTTATGGGGAGCTAAACTTCATCCTTCTGAAACCTCTAATAGGAAAAGTGAAGTGTTCAGAGGTTTGAGGGGGACCTGACTGATTTCACCATTTTAATTTGAAATTTGTGGTATTTAAATAAGTCTGCAATTGTTTTGATTTAATACATGGGGAAAGGAATTGGAAAACACCACTCCTGACTGTTTTTATTTCTTATGGATATATCAGGACATCTTGATCACTAATATAAAATAGGAGATTATCTGTAGTTGCCATGGAAACTGAATACATTACATGTGAAATGATCTGTTTTAGTGTATTACAAAACAGCTTGGAGTCAAATGTAGAAATGGGATATTAATAATGAAGCTGATAATGAACATTGTCATCGGCTATGAACATTTTTCTTATCTATTAAACTGATATTTTGCATAAATGTAATTTTCTTGTAATATATCATACTCAGGAGGGTTTTTTTATTGTGAACAATGATCAAGATAATGAGACATGTGGATTTCATCTCCCCACCTGCTTAGCATTCCGATTACATATAGCCTGAATACTTGGCTGCTGTATGGCTAGAGTGAAATTCACCCTTCCTCTCTCTTTGCCTTAATTTCCCCAATCTATGGAACAGAAATAATACAACAAAGAGATGTTGTAATACTGAATTAAAGTTAATTTGTAAAATGTGGTGAGACATGATATAGGTATCATTTTATGTTTTATGGTTATAGTCAAGAAAAACCAGAACTTTGTATTTATTAGCATTTATTTGGTGGTAAATACTGTAGTTGCCTCACAGGGCTTAAATTAAGAATGTCAGGATGAGAGAAAAAGAGAAAAGCCATTCTCCCTTGTATTTCCAGTTGGCTAAAAAAACAGGGCAGGCAACAATGTTCCCTCTAAGATGCTCAGCAGCACAGCTTTGCAGGTGATTAATCAGCCCCACCCAATCAAGTCTCAGGGCTCCTTGCATGGAGCTGACTGATTGGGTGGGGCTGATTAATCACCTGCAAAGCTGTGCTGCTGAGCATCTTAGAGGGAACACAGGCAGGCACCCTAGTTCAGCAAAGCACTCGAGCATGTGCTTGAGTTCCACTGGGTTAAATGATCACATACTTAAAGTTAACCAGCACATAAGAGCTTTATTGGCTCAGGATCCGAGTCATCTCAGAACACCGTGCCAAAGAAGTGCATTTTGCTAAAAGTGGCTAGGTTCATCCTTACCCGTAATTTTACAGCCAACGAGCTCCAGCAGTGTTGGGCTTTAGGGTATGTCTACATTGCATTCCTCTTTCGAGAGAGGAATACAAATGCAGACGAACGAAATTGCAGATGCAGCGCGGATTTGAATTTCCTGCGCTTCATTTGCTGCGCTTCATTTCATACTCTATTTCAAAAAAGGAAATGCTGTCTAGACGTGGTTATTTCAAAAGAAAACCCTTCTTTTGAAATAATCCTTACTCCTAAAAAAATGAAGTTTAATGGTTATTTTGAAAGAAGGGTTTTCTTTTGAAATAATTGCATCTAGACAGCGTTTCTTTTTTCGAAATAGGGTATTTCAAAAAAGCGGATGGATGCGATTATGCAAGTGAAGCACGGGAAATTCACATCATTTGCAATGTTGTTCATCTGCATTTTCATTCCTCTCTCGAAAGAGGAATGCAGTGTAGACATACCCTTAGAGAGTTGTGTATTGACAGTAGCAAATACATATATGAAAATGTTCAAAATATTAACATAAGCGTGATGTGTTTTGATTACCTTTCAAAGTAATGGCATGTAAAATTTATTGCTATTTAAAAAAAACAACGTTTGTTCTAGATTCTCAAGTTATCCAACAAAGAATTTAAACAGCTGCTTAACTTTAAATGTAGGAATCGTTCCAATAACTGAAGTTGAGGGAGCAACACCAATTTGTTACAACTAAGAATTTAGCTGGATATTTACATTTAATGAAAACTTACAACGGGTGTTTTAATGCCTTTATACCATGTGACTAGTTTGCAGTGACAGACTGGGGCTCTAAAGACCTGATTGGCTGAGGGAGGATTTCTCCACTACAGGCATGGCAGATGACAGCTGTAAGGCTGCTTGCCAAGCATCCCCTTGCAAACTCTAGTGTAGGCAACATATTGAGATAGTAGGGGTGTATTGGGGCTGCAGTATTGGAGGCTGTCATAATATAGGCTCCCATGGCTGTTTAAATTACACTGTATCTAGAATAACCCAAGGTTAGAAGGGTGTAAACGTGGCTTAAAGCAGACTCTCAGCTGAAACAGTAGTCCAAAACCTAGTTTATGTTACTATTTTTGTCATTTAAAAATAGCCTCAATATTAAAACAGCTAATATCAAATTACAACACTAA